CCCCAAAACCCCAAAACCCCAACCATCAAGCATTAATATAAGTGAGTATAGATTTAAAATAGATAATAAACAAAAGTAGTAGAGGAGTATGTTCTTCAATTAGAGTTTGGAATCTTGTTTGTTGGATTTTATTCGTTTCCCTGCATTAATTGGTAATAAGGCTGATATTCTTCCTCACTATCTGTAGTTTCTGAGTTTAATATCTGATTAGGCTTTAAACAGCAACAAAATATTTGCATTAAATAGTCATGAATAGTTATGACTAAACATCCCAAAACTCCACAAAGCAAACCGAATATTTGCATTAGATTTGGTACTTAATTCCATTAGTAAGACTAGAAAAGTGTTTGAAAAATACACTATAAATTAACTAAAGCACTTGAAGGACCACTTAAACCACTAGAGACTGCTAGAGCTATGCAGACAAGTCCAACAGTATTAAGGAAAGAGCCACAAAATCCAAAGAAAAAGAAACTCATATTAAATCCATAATAGTAAAATACAACAAATGCTATTAGAGCTTGAATAAAATTAGTAACTCCATAGCATGAATATGCAAATACATCTGCTGGAAATCCTCTTTTGTCATAATACTTGACAATATTCATGTTAATTGCAATTAGTAATGTTGCAAGCAATGCTAAAAGTACTGGAGTTACTGGATGATATTTTAGCGATTCTAAATATGTTGCCGTATCAGATGGAATCAATGTAGTAGTTGATTTGTCTAAAACATTGCTTAAACTTATTAATCCCATGCAAATAGTAAGTAAAGTCATTCCTGCATAATGATTGAACTACAACTTTTCATGATAAACCTTATAGGCTATAGCAGCTGACCAGATCGGTACCATTGAATAGATAGAAATGATTATGCCTTAATTAATTCCACTCAATTCTGAGTATTCAAAGGCTAATATAGTAAGAATATTTCCACCTTGATATATGATGGAATAACTTGTTAATCCTCCAATAGCTCCCCATTTCAATTCACCTGTCTCTGGATTAATAATATATAGATCACTCCATTTGAAGAATTTTCCTCTTCTGTTTTTAGCAATATGCATTCTATGCACAAAGAATACAATACTTGCAAATAGCGTTCCATAGCAGAAAAATAGATAGCCATAAAGACCTTCTTTACTCAGCTCAACCATGAATAAATTACATGAGGTGAAAATAATACTTGCTGAAAGAGAGTAAATTATCCATGCTGATCTAGATTGCTTTTGAGATTTACCTCTATATTCCTTTCTAATTGATAATAAGGGATTACTTGGGTCATCGTAAGTATCCATTATTATTTTAGGCTGATATAATTTAAAATTGTTCCGTTAATATTTCCAATTTTCAATTTATCTGGACTCATGGGGTTTTGGGGTTTTGGGGTTTTGGGG